TTGGCCGGCTGCAATTTGGCACATGTGCAATGCTGCAGAACCCATTGTACGCACGCTGAGAAATGTTGAACAGGCAAAAAAAAGGAAAAACAGTGGATTATTGGCTTCATTCGTGGTGCTATGCCGGGCGATTGAAAAGTGCCGGCTTTAAATGTTTGAGAATGGGGGTGTGCGATTGACTTACCTCCACGTAGTGCACCCTGGCCAACCTACATTCATACGGCAAAAAAGTCTATTAACTGGCAGTTGACTTCTCACTTCAAACTATCATCACCCCACTGTATGTCATATTCGACTACTTCCACAGTACTCACCTTTCCTTTTTCTCTACCTTTGTGCCTGTCTCTTCTACATCTTTGAAACACTCTTCTGTTCCCCCCTCCCTCTCTACTTTTTCCCTTCGATGTTCCTCCTCCTCTCTGCGAAGCCCGAAGTCAACTAAAGGGCTAATGATAGCCATCAAAACGCCTGCCATTTGATACAAATAAATATATGTTTGAGAATGTGGTAAGGGCCACATTAAGATGTGTGGAAAGTCGTTGATTGAATGAAAAGATGGCGATGAATTGTAGTTGAGATATATTTGCAGTGCCTAACTCGTTTCAGATTCCACAATAAACCCCCCCTCTCTGTGAAGCTCGAAGTCAACTAAATAGCAAATTATAACTGCCATAAAGCCTCCAATTTGATATAAACTTGTCGGCAAATTACCAAAATCCTCCTTGTGTAGAGCCATAAACATTGACATGTGCTAGATAAACCTGTTTATTTGACTAAGCCCTAAAGGAACCGTTGTCCAAAATGATTGGAAAATAGATAAAAACAAACTATAGTTACTGCTTTCAAAATTTCGAAAGTAAAGGCAAATGGCATCAGTTTCATCTTGTTGTCATCAACAAATACGCCCGTGTTTAAATAAGTCCCAAGTCTTTTCTTTATATAAATGCCAGTAGATAGAAACTCTCAACACAAAGTGGAGTCACCGATCTCACGATGGAAAGCGCAGTTTCAGGATGAATCAGAAAACATTCATGAAACTGTTCTCTCATCCTACTTAATTGACCTAGCTGAAGACTTTGCAAACACGACTTTACCATGTAAGTAGCTTAGTGGAACTCCAAAATGTAATTTCACTCAAAAAACGACAAGTTTTATTGATTTGGAGTGTTTGTTCTATTAGTCTGATAACCACATTCCATTGAACCCAAATTCAGAAGAAAAATGTCAACGCTGTTATTACTTATAATATTCAGGAACATTAGAATATGCTTTGCAAACTTCATCGACTTTCAAGAACCCAAAACTCATGTTGCTTAAAATCCCGAAAAAAATAATAAATCAAAAGAAAGAAATAAAATAGAAAAAGACCTCATAACTTAAGGCGTTTTTGCTTTCATTATTGCCTCGAGGTAAACTGAGGCCGGTGGTTTAGAGAGAAAATTCCTCTGAGGATAAAACACAAATTCAACTGCCTTATAAAAGTATAAATAGTGGAGAGTTAGAAAATATACAAAGTTATACACCCAGTGGGACTTATTTAAAACGCTCAAAAAGGCGGTGATGCGGCTTTCAAAAGTCTTGGCTAATTTAAATAAAGGGTTGTGAATAAGAGCATCGTAAAGCAGGACACAGATGAACCCACTAATGATTAGTTCCTGAAGTAAACACGAGTCATCAATAACCTGGAATAGGTCAACTGGATAATCTAAATGTTTATTCGTGTTTATCTTAAACACAAACTTGATTAGATTTGGCAAAATCTAACCGAGCACGCCAACGGAGCGGATGATGACTTGAATAAGATATTCGTATGGCCGATATGAGAACTTGCTATTTTAGCATTCCTCCTTTTAACCAAAATTGGGCAGCACAGTTGGCCTTCCCCACACCAATGAATGTGCACCGATAATTACCGTATTAATGGTTTGCATGGCAACCTTGATATCGCTCTGAACATGTACTTCTGCAATTGTCTACAGCCATCTTTACACTTGAAGAACTGGCTTTCTAAATTACAAAAAGGGAAAATAATCTGCTCGAGAATTTTGATATGGGAAATTATTTACTAAGTGTCATACACTTTCGCCGCTCAAATACATAGTCAAGTAATATTTACCAATGAACTTAACAATAAGTCAATATCCAATTGATTAATAGCCATTGAATACACACCAGTGTTCCAATCATCCCAATCGTCGCCATTTCATGGCCTATTTCGGTTTTAATGTGAAAGTGTCGCCTCTGTTTATTAGTTTTGTAGCCCAATTAATACACAAAACACTTAGATTTCACCCAGGTTCAGAGTACTGAGATAAACTAATCGAATTAATCTGCAGAAAACTTAACTCAAATACTTCCTGTCACAATAGCTTCATCTGCACTCACGAAATGTGGAGAGCTTCGATAATAACAAAAAAGAGCATTTAGTAAACTCAAGCCAAAAAGAAAACAATAGGTAATGGTAAATAAGAATGGTAATCACTTCTCGCCATGGACACAAGTTAAACGCCGAATGGTTGATCTATGGGACGCAAAAAAACTGAGGACAATATGAAGTGTGAACGTGACATCGAGTCAGAATGATTCACAACATATGCACTTCGACTTATTACTGGCCCCCTATCGACTGACCCAATCAATATCGTATCGTTTATCTCGTATATCACGACCATTTGAGCTTTGTGATGTTCATGATCGGTGATGACTGGGTTACTAGTCATTATTTATTTTTTTCATGTGATTGCATGGGTCAGGCCATGGACTGCACAGTGCGGATTTCCATAATTATGTATCTGGAGCCATGAGAGGAGACTGAAAAAGTTTGTCATCAATAAGATTTGGACTTACCATCGATGCTAAACACATGACCAATCCACATACTACTATTAATTCACCTTATCGAAAAATCGTTGAATGTCATGAATATAAACACACACCCATAATGAAATAAACTCGGGAAAATTTGGATAATACCTGAATTATAACCATTAGGAAAAAGAGAACGAGATTAAAGTCATGCAGCTAGCATATTCACTATGATGGATTATTTTATAGCTGGGCTATAGCTTAACTGGTTCTGGAAGTCTAGGTAGATGTAGGAGAATCTGCCAGACAGAGTCGGTCAGGCTTTACTAGCGTAGCAATCCGCTACAAGCGTATGTAAAGACTATGCCCACTGGTTAAAATTTGTACTGTCATAATGATCGAAAGAACGTACTGCCGCCACCCTATAAAAGACTTTTAACAGATAAGATCCTGAAGATTCCATAGCTTTGTCTCACTGACGACGTACAACTTAAATCATGAAAGCCAAAGGACAAAACAGGAACTATGTGGAGGAATTTAAAAGCTCAATATTCGAGCATTATAGTGTGATAAATAAAAAATTAGCAACAAGGTGATATTTCTTGATTGAATAAGACATTGATCCAATGCAGGCGTGACTAGTGCACAGGAAGATTAGATCGCCTTATCGAGTAGGAAAAGGAAACAAGTTACCCAGATCTCCCGCTTAAACTTCAATTATTCAAGAATAAATTATGTGATTTAGTGGGGTTATAACATTTAGAAGTAAAATAGTACCAGGTGATTCATTATACAAATTAAGACGGGAAACACGTCCAGATTTCCATCATATTATATGGTAACTCAAAGTAAGAGAGTACATTTGAATTTCCTAAACCTACCCACTAATTAATAAATTATTACAAGGTAGCAGGACGATGAACACATGCATAGATTTAATAGATTTGAATCATCGCATGAAATAAAAACAAATAAAAAATTAGAACATACCCTCGAGCTTCAGAAATAAGACGACGAATATTAGCAGCCTTGGTATCTAAGTTTGCGGCATTTCTATCACCACCCCAATCGGTTAAAATAAGGGCATTATGCAAATCTAAAAAAGAAACACAAAAGGTAAATAAATAATTATTATTTATTATAAAAAAAGGAAATTAATAAAACATACCGATGCATGGAGAAACACTTAATTTCTTCCCATTCATGAAAGCTCCTTTGCCACGTTCCGCTAAGAACATATGGTTGGAAATTGGGTTGAAAACAACGGCACACTGGGCTTGCTTATCTTTAAAGTACCCAATGCTCACAGCACAAAATGGGAATCTTGAAAATAAATATATTTAACACCAAGAAAGGATATTTACTTGCTAACGAAATTGGACGTTCCATCTATAGGATCAATAATCCATGTAGGTTCGGATGTTAATGTTGATCGCCCAGAAGCACTTTCTTCTGCTATGATTCTGCAGCCATTATTAGAGTAAAATGCTTACTTATGCGAGGGATATTTTTTATGAATATTGGTCTTAATCAACTCCTCAACCTGTTGATCAGTATCGGTTACTAGATCAGCGTAGGAAACTTTCTCGTGGAAGGACGGTGGTTTATCGAAAGCATCTAGGATAAGCTTTGAAAATGGAATGTCCAATGCAACTTACAGACCCAGCCTCTTTGGCAATACATTCAACAAAATCCAACATAGTTACAATACAAATCCAGAAATATTAAGAGAAAAGTGTGCATTCAAAAATGCCCGTTCATAGAGACCCAATCAGATTAGGTGTCCAATTTCGTCAAGGTTATCACCATTACAATATTGAAATTAAAAAGCATAAAGAAATGTTGAATAATTGTCAAAATTATTTTAATTTTAAGATAATTAATGTGATCTAATATTATTTGGCAATTTATAACTTAGTTGCTTTAGTGTATGTAACCTTCGAAGCACAATGCTCATTTATTTATTTCAAATGGCAATCGTTTTAATAGCTATTGTTAGCCCTTTAGTTGACTTCTGACCACACAGAAGGGAGACTTACCTCTACGTGGTACACACTGGGCAGCGTATACTCATACGTCAATATAGTCTATAAAAAGGCAGTTGACTTCTGACTTCGAACTATCTTGACCCTACTGTATTTCATATTTGACCACTTTCACCGTACTCATCTTACCATTTTTCCTCTACCTTTGTGTCTGTCTGCCTTTTTACATCCAGGAATCACTCTTCTGTTCCCACCCTCAACGAATTTTGACCAATTTGATAAGTTAACTTGTTACAAGTTGAAGGGATCCTTTTAAAAAAACAAATTTGAACAATGTCATCTCTAGTGAGGGAAAGTAATTAAAACCTTGTTCGTGATTTTCACTTTGAATAGTTTACCAATGCCAATACTCGCCGATTTTTAAGAGGCTAAGACCAAATTTATATGCCAATTTAATTGGTCTTTGTAATTGTTCTGATCACCTAAATAACTGTATTTTTTACTTAAAAAACCTTTTTTTATTATTGTGAGGTATAATTTGTTTATTGTGGCAACAATACATTCCTCCATGTATGCTATTTCCGAATTGATATGTTTACAGTCGATTTGTAATTAGTATAGTAGGTCTATTTTTCATATTAGCTTTATCATGTGAAAAAGCTTGAAGTTATTAAACTGTCTACATTCTTCATTCCGAAGATAACGTAGATGGATTGAACAAATTAAGTGAGCATACACTAAGTAACAAGCACCGAAAAATACTAATCTGAACGAAAATCTTTTGGAGTAACCTGTATGGTTGACCAAAATGGTATGACAACTCCTCTACTAGGATGTGAAGGCTAAAGTTTAATTTATTAACTTGAATTGTCAATGAAACGCTTATTATTGGTTTGGAAAACGAGAGAAGCTTCCGTGAAAAACTATAAAACCCATGATATTCCAGGGGAAAAACGAAGTAATCAATAAGAGAGGTGAAAATTTGTTACTTTGAAATGCACTTGGCACATAAAGGCCTTTACATTTTTTCGAACGGTTACATGTTTTTTGCAAAGTAACTTCGCTTATTAAATAACATTTTCGCCTTTGACACTGTGTGTCCACACTCAACATATATGATAAGAAATCAAAATCTGCGTCAGATAATGATTGAATCAATATATTTTTCCGTACATTTATAAATATTTACTAGCAAGCTTATTAGAGAAGAAAATTATTATCTAAGGTCACCTAAATCCGTAAGCGGTAATTTTGAATGTGCCCGTGTAGTTTTCTTTGGTATGCGCAAACGCTATCGATCTGTCTTTATTTAATGCTGTTTTGGCATTGTTTAAATTTCTATTATATGCTTTTAACACTCAAATTATAAAAACTTTAGACCCCGTATTCATCGTTTGACAACGATATTTTGACAATCATTAAAAACCATGGCTATCTTGGGTTTTCAATTGGTTTCGACTTTAATCGGCGTTAGTCTTCTTACCAAATTAAGTGCCCACTTTTCTTTTACAAAAGCGTTAGTGTTCGGAGGCCTTTATCGTTGTCTTCTTCCTTCGGACAAGGAGATATTAGAATCCGCTGGATTAACCAAAGTTAAATCAAAGGGAAGGAGAAGTAACGGGGCTGCACAAGCAAATGGGGAGAATGCTGAAACGTTTCATTTTCCACGAACAACACCAATCACCCTTCGCAAATCTTCAATTCATGCTCATGATATTGCTGTTCTTCCTTTTTACACCGAACTTGTCTGGCTTGTTGATTTTACCGTTTGTGCGCTCTTCGTACTGTTTGTTAATGATGCTGTCTCATTCACTCGACAAGCGTATCTTAATGCATTGAACTCTGGCAAGCCGACCTCTCTATCGAACTCTATACATAGCTTTTTTGCTCCTAGTGCAATCAATCTAAATCTTGTTTGGAGTCTTTTTATCGTCTGGTTTGCTCTATCTTCACTTTTCTCCCTATTTCGCGTCTATATTGGCTCCGACGGAAATAGTCAACCTGATAAGGACAGATCCGAACAGTCGACTCAATCAGCTTCTGAATGGCCCCTATTACTATTCATAGTCTTCTCCACTTTCGTTGCTGCAATGTTTTTCCTCACTTTGGATACCACTTTCCTTGACCTTCGAATGGCACCTGCCTACGGAAATTTGACCTTTTCTCTTTCTGAAGGAACTCCTGCTACTCCTGTAATCAGTTGGGGAATGTTTCAAACCTGTTTGGCAACTTTTGCCTCTCTTGTTGGTCTACTCTTCCTCTACCCAAGTCTCCAGTACGGCCGAGTCTATGTTCAGGTCTTAAAGTAAGCTTTGTTAATAATGTACGCTTATATTAAATTTCCATATCCAAGGAGTTATAAATCACAAGAAAGAAACACGCCTGTGAAAATCCGGTGGCGGGATAGTTCATATGCAATGTTTACGAAGTCATGACAGGTTGCCCAACTGTATTTTTTGCCTTTTAGGAGTCCAGATTCTTCAAGATTTAACTATGCTCTCTTTTACCTTAACCTCTTCGCACCAATGTTTGCCTTACTGCTGTGGGTTATACCTCTTGCGACGCATATCTCCTCTCTAATTCTACAAAGGCTGGGGGCTGTGAAAATTGGAGGTTGGTTCCTCTCCTGTGTCATTATAATTGCTCGTGCTCTCTCCCCGGATCATATTTCAAGTGTTAGGCTACTTGTTACTCTCGCTGCTGTCACGCTTCGTTTCGCCATGACCAAACGACATATGCAGGCTTTCTTGGATACCGCTCAGACACGGCTAGATCGTTTGGCTCGTGAACCCGGTCGTACGACAAATCGTGAAGTTCAGCGCATAGTTGCTAGTGTATTCCACTGCTTCAACTTTGCTGCTCTTCAGTATCTTGCTCCTGCAATCCTTCTTATTGGATTTACGTTCTCGTATAAGGTCTCCACCGGTGTTGGATGGATTCCTATACTTTCTAGCACTCCAGATTATAAAGCCACATCTCTCAATACGAATTCATCTCTTTCTGGAGTGCTGGAAGCTTTTGCTGGGCAGGAATGGGAGTCGGTATTCACTGCCCCCTGGTTTGCTGCATTGCATCAGACAAGGGAAGCTTTTGAAGGACTCTGGGAAGCTGTTCGATGTCAAGCGGGGAACGTATGCTCAGGGGTGCTTGGATTCGTCCTCTTTTGGTGTCTGGCTGTTTGGCAGGGACTTGCTTTCACTAGTCTAGCCTACCATCGATTCATTGAATGAATTGTCGATTGTGTCTTAATTCTCTTTTTCTTTCTTTCTCTCTGTCAAGTATTTATTTGCATGTGTATAGCTTAGAGTATTGTGCTTCTTCCTTTTTTCCTAAACATTTATTGACAGATATTTGTGATTTTGCCGGTTACTCTTGACTACAGACGTATCGTTCACTTTATATCTGTACTTGGAATTTGACGCTATTTATCTGAACATTCATTCTTCCATAAATGTATTAGCTCTTCGTTAATCTTTTTGTAATTGTCAGTTCATGACATTTGATGGAAATTAATAAAAATCCGATCTATTCTAAATGGAAGAAAAAAGTGGGTAAATGATGCATTTTCATTTTTAAAGTGTGTCCAAATTTATGAGATGAAGAGGTATCTGAGTAGACAATTTGGGGAATATTATGCTTTAGATGATTAGTTGGCCCCAAACTTTAACGCCATAAATTTTTTTGAAAAGTGCACTCATGTATGCCTCACAGCAGACTGATGGTATTAGGCGAAGACTGGACGTATTGAACATGCTCCAAACGGTAATAGCGCCTTCTGTTACGAGTTTGAAACAGATGTGGCTTATTGTGAAAGACGTTAAAGAGTCAACAGGAAATTCATAAACACTTGGGAGACACTCTTTTGGTGCAAAACGCTAGAGTCTACTAAGCTTTCTACCGGCCAAGTGGAAATTATACTAGCTACGTGTATTTCAAAGTACTTCAAGTGCATTCGGCAACACCCACCCTGGTCTGTAACATATTGTTTACTTTTTTGCAGAAATTTGTAATAAGAGTACTCAATCAGAATAGAATGCCACCTATTTTCGACTTGGTCGATGTGGAGCACGAAATTTGGTCACCCCACTCGGCACTGCATTTTTTGCTGTTGATCAGACGTGTTTGCTTTCAGGTAAACAGATGCTAACAGCCACTATCAATGTATCTCTATTTGAATTCAACATTGAACTGTTCTGTCTGAGTCAATAGTCGCATCGATATGCTGCCCCCAGCTTGTGCTAATTACTCCTAAAGTGTTATTTTTTCATGATAATATTTTGTTATTAAATTTAGTTAACTTCTGCACAAATTTCTCCTCTACTTTAAGTGAACCGCGAACACTTGACAAGTTATACCAAACACTTTGGGATCTATTGGGTTGTCAATTTTGGTTAATTGCTATTCGCAGATCACTTTATTAAGCCAATGAAAATAGGGGAATTTGTCTGAACGAGCCAGCATTTATCCGCATATTAATTTGACAGGTACACTACCCTGAGTGGATCGGTAATCTTTCGAAGTCTAAGTGACTTTAGGTTAATGGACCCTTATCATTTAGTGAATGACAATGCACATTGGAATTTAAACAAGCGAATCTCAACAACCACCCCCCCCCCCACCACCACCCAGCCTTAGACCCCGTTCTATAATTTATTTAGGTAATAATCAGGTTTTCGCCCAGGTGGTTCCTACTTCATGCAAATTTGACAAAACAACGCGAAAAGAAAACCATAGGGGGGTGTTTCTGTGTACCTGATAGTATATATATATATTGAAAAATATAACAAATGCGAGGAGGCAATAAAAGCAAAAAAAGTACATCATGGCGACAAACACATGCGCCATCGTCGAGAGTAAGTTGCCAAAACCGAGAGGGAATAAAAAGACCCCATAATAAAAAAATACCACTAATGTGCAAAAAGTTTCCTAATATGCGGAGGAATGCGTTCCTTCAGTCGAAAGATTTTATCACGTCGCACCTTGTGAATTTGGCCATTCGGAAAGTGAACCTAGGAGGGGGGGGGGGGGGGGGGGGGAAGAACAAGAAAATGAACCATTAGACCTGAGTAAGGGAAAAAACTGCATTTTTCTCAAAATATTCCACATACTTCCCACTTTTCCTCTGAAGCTCCTTGAAAGACTGCCGTATACACCTCTCCGTCTGTCCAGATAACCTTGACCTTTGATCCGATCTGGGGAGCACCAGTGTTCCAATCATGATTCTGAAATGGAAGACATTCAATAAATCAGGAGCTCTGGTACACTACTCATCCTTACACATCCGCTGACTAGAATTGGCTAGAAGTGTTTATAGAACAAAGAGCAATGATCTTGTTAATTAATAATACATGAAGTTGTAGTTTCTTGATCTTCTGCATTTAAATGTGTTTGTCAGACTAATTACTAAACTTAAATTATGTCTGTAATCTCGACTTGTCCCATTTCGTTCGTTGCAAGCACTACTATTCTATCTATAAGTTGTGAGGGGTGTGTGATAGACTTACATCCACGTGATGCACCCTGGGCAACGTATACTCATACGGCAAAAAAATTCTATTAACTGGCAGTTGACTTCTTACTTCAAACTACTATGTCATACTCGATTACGTCCACAGTACTCACCTCACCTTTTTTCTACCTTCGTCTTTGAAACACTCTTCTGTTCCCCCCCCCCTCCCTCTCGACTTATTTTCACTTTGATGTTCCTTCCCCTCTGTGAATCCCGAAGTCAAGTAAAGGGCTAATGGTAACTATCAAAACGCCTGCCATTTAAAATAAATTAATGATTCGGCACTAGGGGGGGGGGGGGGGGGCGTTAGTCGGGATAGGTTAGAGATACTTTATTAGTCAACAATTTACGATCATGCTGAAGGGTTTGCGATTGAGAATTAGGTAATAGTAGGAAGTGTAGGCTAAATGATTTATTTATTTATTTATTTCAAATGGCAGGCGTTTTGAAAGATATCATTAGCCATTTAGCTGGCTTCGGGCTTCACAGGGGGGAGAACAGAAGAGCGATTCACAGTTGTAAAAGAGATAGACGGACACAAAGGTAGAGAAAAAGGTAAGGGGAATACTGTGGAAGGTGTCGAATATGACAACCAGGGGAGGGAGTCGTGGTAGTTAGAAGCCAGAAGTCAATTGCCGATTAATAGACTTTTTTGCCGTATGAGTATACGTTGCCCAGGGTGCACCACGTGGAGGTAAGTCTATCGCACACCCCGTGTAGGCTAAATGAATCCTAACTAAGATACACCATATAAATATGGGAAGTGAATACGAACAGTAGTTAATTCTGTAAGATAAATGACCTTTTTATTCAAGAAAAATTAAATTACTTATTGTTAGCTATTCTTAAAAGTTGCTTAACTGCAGGGCTATTGGGGTCGTTACCTTGTTTTAACCAGGAGCAAAGCTCATTCCCAATTCATTTATGTTCCTTATTAAATTCTGGGACTTCTGGTCTATTTTGGGAGGAGTCTGAGGTTATAACGAGTACAAATAGTGGGTGGAAGCAACCACCTAAAGCTTTGAACACAATGTTCCCATCTTGGGGTGCGCAATAGGCTTACCTCCACGTGGTGCACCCTGGGCAACGTATACTTATACGGCAAATAAAGTCTATTGATCGGCAGTTGACTTCTGACTTCAAATTTCTATAGGCCGACTATTTTTCATATTCGACCCCTTCACAGTACTCATCTTACCTTGCTTTATGCCTTTGTGTCTGTCTGTCTTTTTTACCTCTGTGAATCATTAATCTGTCTCCCATCTCGACTTTTTGTCACTTTGATGTCCCTTCGCCTCTTCATGAGGCCCCGTAGTCAGCTCCAGGGCTAATGATAACTATCAAAACGCCTGCCATTTGATATAAATAAATAATAAATGTTCCCATCTTAAGCGAGCGGTATGAAGTTGACTACAACCACTTTTGCAATTTGACATCTCATTGGTCCACTCTAGCTGCGGCGTGTACTTCTGATTGGTTAAGGGCCTACTTCTACTTTATGACTCAAAATACTGTAGTCTGAACTGTCAGGATTGAAAAAGTAACAGACTGGAGGATAAGTGTATAATTTATCTACCCTACAGCATTAAGCCATGTTTATCGGTTTTCTGGGTGAAGTCTTACCTACCGACACTTCTACTCTTGGTAAACCGATGGTGAGTGTAAATCGGAAAATGAATTCTACTTCCAAACTTAGTTCCCAACAAACTCCGCGTATATCGAGGATAATAAACAAATGAAAGAGGTCTCACCAGTATATAATCAGATGGTGTATCCTTGGAATATGTGCCATCAGAAAAGACCAATTTGCACAGCATAGAGCCGGCAGGATTCATTGCAATTGCCTTGTAGTAACGCCCATTTTCTGATGACAGCGCATAAACCATATCACCAGGCAAAAGTGGAGGCAATTCTTCATCATGCTCAAACTGAAATAGATTGAAAAAAAGGAAATCGATGAAATTTGGTCTTCAATAGATTGGAATACCAGAGTGGCCAACACTCACTTCTCTATACTCGCTCAAATGTCGTCGACAAGTGATGTAGAAGCAATGGGGATATTGGCTTGTAGCTATCAAAACACCACCAAATTGAGCACATGTGAGATGAAATTTGGTGGTGCAGTCCTCGTGCCAACAGGAGACCAAGGGGAGGTGCAAGTAAGGACCACCAGGGGACACCAAGCCACACTCGTCACAGTGGTCCCTTCTACACGAGTCCTCTGCTTCAGAGGAAGGGCTTTCAGGTTTGCTTTTACTGGAAGACCTGGGTGAAGAGAGCGATAGAAAATTAACTGAAGCTTTAGCAATGTAGTACAACAAGGAAAAATTGGAGCGTTTATCTACATACTTGATCCGCTTTTGACGAGCTTCAACAAAGTAGTCGCCTGAGTTGGTCCAAAGGGATGGACGAGAACAGAGCTTTTTCTGTGCTTTAATTCCATGGTCTTCTGAAGGACTTCTCAAGGAACTAAGATAGTTTCAAATGGTAAGAACAGATTTGACTACCAATGTGGAACAAAGCTCTTAGGCTATGGGAGAAATGATAGGTGTTACATAAATCATTCTAAATGACCTCATCTGGATGTATGGTCTCCAGTTACCCATACGCATTAATAGTAATTTTATTTGTAAACACATTGGTTAAACATTTTAATACTGACATAAACTGGCCTTATCATTCAGTTCGACACCCGAAAATGTTGCATTGACAACTTTCGATCAATGAACCTGAGCTATACCCCTAAAAAAGGAAATTCGGTGCAATTCACCAGCTGAGTCAGCGCGTCCTGATGACTTGGCAGGCACTTACATTCGTCTAACCCGATTTTTGCATCTCCATTCCTAGAGTACCCGACGGGAGCAACTTCAGGTCATACTTTTCTGGCTCTCTCTCTCACCAAGCCCGCCATCACAAATAAAAGTATTGGTTGAAATTACATTCCCAATTCTGTTATTGATGGAAGATGTTAGCTATAGCCTGAAGAATAGCAATAGGTGCAAAATCTTATGCCCAGCTGATAGAAAATGCTTCTGAAGCTCCAGATTAACTGCTGGTAGCAATAGCACCGATGCAAGCACTCCTTTGGAAAAATTGTCGACTTAACGATGCCCATTCACAAAAGAGCCATTGGCCACTACCTCGATCACTTTATTTAAAAATTGCAGACGATTTTAGAACTTACTTGGATGAAGACGATTTGCGACGTTTAGAAGTTCTGGTGGAAGATATTGACGGCTCGTGCTCCAAACCCTCGATACCAGTGAGATCAATAAGGTCGTCAATGTCTCCTTCACAAAGCGACATCACCAAAGAGCCCGTTCGTCGTCTTCAACACATAATGGAAGCAAGTTAAGCATTTCCTGACAAAAAAAGCGTTCAAAAACCCGAGAGGCAAACTTACGATTTGTGGGGACTACGACTTCTCGAAACCGCTCTTGATTTGCTGATACTGCTTCTACCAGATCTAAAATAGGTAGATAACTATTTTCAGTCCGTCTAAACTGAAGATTTCTTGCAGGTAGATTCAATTACTTGATTGTAAGTATAAAACACACTCACGTTGGCATTCAATTGAAACCACCGTACCCCTCTCATCGAACCCAATTGAGTTCCGACTCCTGGGGTGTACGATAGACTTACCTTCAGGTGGTGCACTCTGGGAAACGTATACTCATACGGCAAAAAAAGTCCATTAATCGGCATTTGACTTCTGACTTCAAACTACCATGACCCTACTGTATGTCATATTCGACCACTTCCACAGTATCCATCTTACCTTTTCTCTGCCTTTGTGTCTGTCTGTTTGTCTCTTTCACATCTATGAATCACTCTTCTTCCCCCCCCCCTCTCGAATTTTCTCACTTTGATGTTCCTCCCCTCTGTGAAGCCCGAAGTCAGCTAAAGGGGTAATGATAATGGAGAATAGTGCGTTATCCCTTAAACAGCAATAACTCACAGCATAGAGAAACCTTCGATCAGCACAAGATAAAGGTATTATCATAAAGATGGTGTATTATTGATCACATTCTAACTATTAACACGATGTATGGAATGTCAAAATAGTGATAACTAATTGAAGCGCTCCATTAAAGCTAAGACCCAAGTTAGAGCTCTTACATTGAACTTCGACTGGACCTCTCATTCTTGTTGAATGAAGTAGGGAAGGTGGAGCGAAGTAAAAGAGGTTTGCGTCGAGGAACATCGATAAAGCAGCAATATAGGGGTCCAACAGCAATAGCACAACCCAAATGCACCCAAAATCGTTCTCCACGCTTTGAATTCCGAGGATTGGCCAAAGCCTTCAGAGCTCCACCCCTCATCGGACAGAGTACGCATTGCTGTAAGTGGGAAGGACAGTTTAGCGTATTTGGTTACTGAAAGCCGACTGAATAACTCCCAGTGATTGGAGTTTACCCTACTATTTGAACAATTCCGACATTGTAGCCAAGGGGCCTGGTCTCGATTTGATCCTAATATATTAATACCAAAGTATGTGTGAACCCTAATAGACTGCGCAAGCATTAAGGGCAAAATACCACGAATTAATTCACCCCACTCCCGCATTGCCTCTACCTCTCCACAATGTACTTATAGTGGAGAAGAAAGAGTGGGAACGAACCAAACCGTTTAAATAGGCTTTTAAGTTAATAATAGTAAGACTTATGCTAAACCAGGAGGAAGTTTAAAGTAAAACTTGTAATAAGATTTTTTTAAGTTCTACACCCACCGAGTTGATAGTCTTGGGAAAGTTAAAGGTGGTAAGGATATCAATAGTGCCAGATTCAACGTAAATCCATGGCCTGCCAATAAATAAACACACCCAACAATCTAGAAAGCTTTGATGATCAACCTAAAACAAAGGCACGAATTAAGCTCAAGTTCGCTTAACCGAGCACCCATAACCCCACTAATTAGCCTGGGCGTTATAACACATGTAATTCTATTAAAACAGGCTAACTTATTCATTGTTCAGAAGCATACAAGCATGCAGAAACTCAGTCAAGCTTAAAACATTTGGCCAAATGATTGATATCGATTTCTAATAACCAAAACCATTATCAGAAATTATAATGTAGACAACACATGTACGTACCGGTTCATTCAAGACACGATCAGATATCGCAGCAGAACAGGCATCACACCTCCACTTTCCTCTTTCTGATTTGCTATCTTTACTAGAGACGAAATTACTTTCGTCAATGCCATAGCAACAAGCGTGGACGACGACCTTGCAACGAGCACAACACAGGATCCGACTAGTTGGATTTAATCGAGTTCGAATGAAGGCAAAGTCATCAGGAGATCGACAGAAGACAACTTCGGAGAGGTAGGGTTCGGTAGATTCAGGGATTGTCGCTTTAAGAACATCCCTCTCTTTGTTGCAAAGAGCTTTTCTCATGTTCTAAAAGAGAAAACCTCAATTAAATCCAACAATCGGCAAAAAAATCAGACAAAGTACGAACCGGTGGCGACCAAAAGTAGGCACAAATCGAACAAAATGGATCCTCAGAGCCGATGAGTTGGTTGAAGTGGATTATAGATTTGAAATTCAGTTCTTCACCGCACCAAAGTGGTTGAAGCTTCACGTTTCGTCGCAGATAGAGTGGCCATTTGGCCTCAGAGAAGTCTAAATTATATTAAGGAAAAGCAGCGGTAAGCTTAAATTAGATGCATTTTTGCAGACGTAATTGGCATTGAATACTCGACACGAGATGGCTCATTCAAAACCACTGTTTTTATGAAGTTTCTGGTAAAAATGTACTGACTAAAGTGAGTTAAGTCCTTTACTAAGTGTACAACCAATGGATTCCAGACTGTTAATTATAAAGAGATTATCATATTACGGGGTCTCACTTACTAGATTTCCTGAGGATTCAAAGCCAGCTTGTTCTACCTGCAGGTGAGCTTAAACTCAGAGGTCACCTACTCAATGATAATTTGTAATACGGCCACTTAGACAGATGGCCAATCTTCCTGGATAATTGCGGCAAACAATGGGGCCGTTACATACATTCAACCCAAGTCAAATGTGGCTCACATTTTTCTAAGTAGGTCTGAGAAATTTAGAGCATATCAAAGCCCTAACCCCAATGGTTTTTTTCAAATTTTATCACGATAGGACTAAGCACAATTAACTGTATTTTATTAAGGAGATATTCAATGGAGCCGTCTGACTTTTAACTCCAACATAAGTACTGTTATTCCATCTCAGCTGCACATTAAAATATTTAATAAATCAAGCAAATCATACCTTTATTGGAGTAGAAGAGACCGCGAACATTGAGATCTGCTGCATTCACCACATCTGAAATAAGATAGGAAAAAGAAAGTTCAACTTACAACTAGTAGATAATGATATGACGTATACATAGACGAGTTCAGACCTTGACCTAACCATTAATGCAGATAAAAATTATTCAACCCCAAAACCTTGCAAATAAATCATCGTTTGATTGACAAAATTAAGTAAATATCTGCATATTAAAACATCCATTCAAAGCAACTACACCTCAAAAACAGGATCATTTGCCGGCTAATTGGGTATATCCAATTAGTTCCGCCTTTATAGGTTTGATGAGAAAATTTCTTCCATTTGTAAGAGTACCTTCAAATGCTTAGAGAGAATATGGCATGGGTTAAATAACTCTACTGATCGCTCTCAACCATTTAATGCTCTGCAGGAAAGTACGGTCCTCTTTCAGCATAGAACCCATTGATACTAGACACGTAACAGACGGCGATATTGTCGTTTGAAACATGTTCGATACGTGTCTATAGCCTTCGCCTGATACCACCAACAAAACTCATCACGTCGATGGCATCAGTCTACTGTGGGACACAAGTGAGTACAGTTGGGGGCATTTTTGTTCAAAAAAAAAATAAATAATGAAGGGTTAAATGCTTTCTGTCGCAAAGGGTTAATCAATGCGGGATATGCAACAACGTTAAGCCCACTTAGTGGTGTTCCGAATAATGAAGTATCGAGTTTGAGATTAGGAAAGCCAGCACGAGGCAACGGATGATTCGGAAATTGGGTCAATTTTTAAAGACTATACTCTCCTTGAGATAGGCAAGCCTATAACCTGCGGAATGTGCAACACTGCACAAAGAAATCTAATGACACGCAGACAGGATCGAAAATCCAGTCGTGCTACTTGTCGCGCGGGGAGCAATTGCGATCGTGAGAACAGAGACCCCTCAGACAGCCACCAATCAATGGTCGGTGAACTGTTAAAAACCCATATGCATTTTTAAAAGACAATGCATAAAGAGATTTCCTTCAAACTAAAATTTTGTTTGCTCTCTTCTAAAAAATAATGGGAAAAAAACAGCCTTAAGGGAATCAAAACAAAGTCTTAGTTCGAAACTCATGAGAGAGGAGAATGGTGAATCATTGCAGACAGCAGACAGCTAGAAGGAACCTGAAGACATCTCCCGTGAAACACTCGTTTCAAGAGAACCTCAACAGGCAGCAAAAAGAACATGATTAAGTATCCGGAGTTTTATTAACTTGATCTCATTCGGGAAAAACTAGCTACGAACAGAAATGTTGTTAAGAGAAAGAAATAATAGACAAAACGGGGTGTGCGATAGACTTACCTCCACGTGGTGCACCCTGGGCAACGTATA